TTAAATAAACTAACAGGATTCGTCTTCTCTTTTAAATTTCTTTTATATATATTATAAAGATTAACCATAACTTATAATCACAACTCTTACGAGACTCGTTGTCCATCCGTTTCAATTTGTCCACGTGTCGTTATCAGACGATCTACGTGGGTGTACACCACCTCCTTTTTGCGAAGATGCGCTCTCGTGATTGTTCTCGAGAATTTAATGCACTTAACACCATGGTCGTTGCAAGACGTATGGTTGAGGACTATCTTCCGCCGACGCGTTGGTGGAGAACAGATGGAGAATGAGCAAAATTTCTGATTCTTATTCGAAGTTTTTCTCATTCGCTTTTTATCCACATCTTTCGTATACATTCTCCTTTGAAGTTAAGTTTGTATTTAATCAAAGTTAACCTGAATATCAAGTTTCAAACGTTATTGTATTCCAGTGGAAAAACGAAAATTTCGAAACAAAAATGATTTTTGCAATATTTTGAAATAAAATCGGTAGAAAGGAATTATTTATTTTAATATATATATAAAATAATAATGATTTGGATATTATAAATATTTATTTGCTGAGAAATTACAGATCAAGAAATTGCAGGCTTAATGTATACAGTGAGCACTTAACCTCAAATCAATTATCCTTTCAAACAAATATCCCTTTTATTTACTTGTTCATTTCAATACTCACATCGAATTGAAATTTTTTTTCATTCCTTCAATGATTTTGTTTCTTTTTTTTTTCAAATTTTTTCCAGAAACATGATTCCCTTTTGTTACGTAATCTAACGCAAGCGAGTCTTCTTGCGATAAACCATAAGTGCTTTGCGCATCGCTCCCGATGGATTTCTGCGAGAATTACCGATAGGGTGACCGAGGAACAACAGAGATAGCGTTTCCTCCGTGCTCGTTACTTCTAGTTCGCGATCATAATGGCCCTTCTTGTTAAATTGAGCATCAGCCAAGTGATTTACGTTGATTGCTGGTCGCGGCATGCATCCACCTCTCTCTCTCTGTTTCTCTTCTCTTTCTCTCCTGAATCGTAACTTTCCCTACTAGGACCGTTCATGGGCAGTCTATCGAACGTGATCTTGTTGATCTCGCCTACGTTCTGAAATCGATCGGATCCCTGTTGGTAGATTTTCTAGGGAGATATTCTTCTTTGAAGTTACTATTAAAGATATTGATTTTTATATCAAGTTTTCTTACTAACTTCTGTTTGAATATAATCATTCTTCATTAAGAAATATTTTAATTTTTTATACTATCGGTACAGAATATAATGAATTGGCAGAAAATATATTTGTTATTTATATAAATGCAAAAGCAATCAAGTGTATGCAAGAAACGATCACGTAAATTGACTTCTTTAGAAATTTTAGAAAAAGGCAGAAAAGGATGAAACAAATATATTGGGATATTTTCTAACCTCTTAACTGCAATTCGTTTTCCATACAAAGATAAGATCAAAATAGTAACATTTTATAATAGTATTTTAAAACGATAATGCAGCTTTTATAAATATAATTTTTATAATTCCAACATCCTGCTTACTCGAGCCAATTTACGGATTTGAAACAATTTCCACGTCATAACCTCAATTTAATCCGTTAAAAATGGTAAAATCTCGAAATGATGATAGAAACTTCTGTTTTAACACAACAATCCTATTGGAAAAAGCAAATGAACCAAGAATAGCTTCTTTGTAACGGCATTTTCCACGCAGATTCAAACCGACGCGACTAACCCCCGTTCGAAGAATGTTCGGCCTTCAAAAACAGAGAAGGAACGCGACCAGTAGCGGCGCGCGTGGTTCATAGCGGGCCATTTAACGGTCTTTGCGAAATTGAGTCATCACGCGGTTCGCCTGGAATCTCGAATATTTTCCTCCCGATGCTTCAGAGTTCTCCGTAACCTTCCCCTTCTGCTTCCTCCTTCGCCACGCCACCCTCCCGTTATCCCCCTCTCGCATTGTCCGCTTTCTCTTCGTCTCCTTTGCTAAGAAGCATCACCAACCATCCTCTGTCCGAAACGTCTTCGAGGATGTATCGCGAGATATCGAAACGAAAAAAAATTTTTTCGTAAATTTTCAAAGTGCGAAGAATTATATGCTTTGAAAGATTCGTATTTCGATTCGAGGAAATCAGAGATTATAAGTTTCTTCGCAACAGTTATTTCTATAAAGGATTACAAGATGAAATCTGATTTTAAATTGTGTAATAAATGATTTAAAATTGTACTATCGAAATATAACATGTAAAAAATATTTTTATAATTTTCAATCGTGCATGGATAGAGTTCGATTATTCTACTTATAAATAATTTAGATAAATTTTTAATAGATATTGCTTTATGGTTATTATAAACTTTTTGTTATTCTTATGAAGGTGATTATTTTTTCCAAGACAAATATTAGATTTTTTTAATTAATTGTAGGTTAAATACTCTCTATCTTGCTCGAATTGTATTTTCTTCGTTCTTACTATTTACGCATGCGCGGTTAAATGACGTTAGCCAATTGGTGGCTTCTTCGAATGTATAATCACGATTGTTGCCGAACAGTGCCGAATAGTAAACGATAGGTATATGTTTGACGAAGGATGCATGTCACTACACTGAACCATGATAAAGTAAGTAAATATAAATTACAAGCAAAATAACTTGGAAATGACCTCGTTCAACCAACACTCTCGCTCTTTCGATTTTATAGAATCACAGACAAAACAATCGACGAGGATTTTTTTTCGAACAATCGTGCATCGAAGTGGCATAGTTCTGGTTACAACACAGTAAACGTTATTTCAATTACGACACGTTTGATGTCGTCTGGCGCCAGTTTTACAGGCGCGGCCGTAAAGTCTTAACGGCTGTGAAATCTAAGCAACGATAAGGTGCCATACATGCTATGCCATTTACTCGATTCAATCGGTTGGAAATCAATTCATCGTTCAACCCGTACCAACCCCTCTCTTCCTATTCTCATCTCTTTCGTTCGTTCATTTTTGTTCCTACCTCTTAGATTACATTCACGATCGAATATCGCTTGTCATTTCCCGCCGGATTGTCCCGTTGAGATTGCATCGGTCCCGGACATTTTTCAATCGTCCAACCGTTTCGAAAGCTTTCGACTCGCAAGAAATTTTATGGGATGTTCTTCTCTCCGTAAATAGACACGAAATGTTTGACCAAACAGATAGGTTTATTTATTTCTTCTTTTTTTCTATTTTTCTTTTCTTTTTTTGGAAATTTTTAATTCGAATGAAACAAATATACTTAGAAAAAAAAAAAAAAATAGTACTATAGACAATTCTATAGAAAAAGAGTACTCGTAGAACAGTCAGTCTGATACAAAGAAAAACGAACGTCAACGAAAGAAAAAATTTTTATTGTAAAATAACTAGCTTGATCCAGTTGAATTTCAAGAGGATGAAATGCACTGTGAACTCGAATTAATTCGAGTGTGGGATGCATTCAGATTTCGAGGGCCGATGAAAACACGGAAGGGTCGACAATGAGCGGACGTTTTATTTGCACGTTCGACCGATTTTTTCCTCTTTTTTCCTCTTTTTTTCTTTCTTTCTTTTTTTTTTTAATTTTTTATTGAATCGTGCCAGCGTTGATCGTTCTTCTTTTCTCTTTTTTTTTTCTTCTGTTTTTTCCACTATTTTTCATAATGGAAATCGAAACCGATTGAATCGAGTGGCGCTTTTTTTTCCCTCTTCGCATTCTCGAAATGTACAATAATGTTATCATGGTTTATTGAGCCGTGCGAAAAAAATACGATTTCATTTCGTGAATCTGTGATTAAACAATTTCTGCACCTTTTGTGATTTCAATAATTTCGATTCGAGATTTTATGAAAGAATCGTTCCCATTGAATTATTATTAGAATTGTAAAATAATAATCTTTTTTGTCTCTTGTTGAACTTTTGATCGTGGTTGTTTTCAAGTTAATAAAATTCAAGTAATAATTAACGAATTTGGAAATAATCGTTTAAACTTTCCTCCTTTACGAAATTTTTATTTATTAATATCCCTTCTGATAAAAATCAATTGTAAAACATATATATATATTCAAAGACATCTGATTCACCAGATTCATCGTGTCTAACGCAAAGTAATTTTTCGGTTAATTTTAAGAAACATTCGAGGTCAATTTCCACATGCATCGAGAGTTTATTTGTATCTGACAGTGTATCCGTTTCTCGTCAAGCAGGAAAAGCTTTATTAGAGGATGTTGAAATTCCCCATACTTCGATTATTGTCCATAGAAGATGTTTCGCTACTTTACGTTCCGCGTTTGCTTTGATACACACCCGTGCAGATTTATTAGGACATTTTGGGCGAAGCACGCGCACTGTTACGAAAATGAAGAGCAAGACCTTGAAATGGTGCAGATTATTTAGCCATCGAAGCCTGCGAAAACTCATTTACGTTTTCAACATCTGGTCTTTCACTTTCGTTTGTTGCAAGTGTACATCTTGAACGAAGAATTTTTTCAATCGATCTTAATGTTTTCCTTCTTTTTCTTTTTTTTTTTTTTTTTTTATATAATTTAATACAAAAATCTTATATCTGAAACTTTAATGAAAATTATTTTTTCACCAAAATTCAACTGGTTTTTTTAAATTCGTATATATGATAGAGTTTTTGAAAAGTAAATTATAACGAGAGATATTTTTATAACAGATGAATTATAAATTAGAAAAAAAAATATATTATGCACGTAATCTTTTGATCGGACAAAAGTGTCTGCATATTTTAAAATAGAGAATTATTATTATTAAAATATAGAATCATAATTTTTCCTAATAATAAATATTTTGTGTAAAAGAAATAAATTGTGAATCTTATTTTACAAGTTATTTTTAAATACTTGTAACGATAATTAATTTCTTCAATTTTAAAGAAGCAATGACAAAAGCAAAATTAGCGTGTTTCTAACATTATGAATAGATCAGTTAATCAAGGATTGATTTCCAATTAACCAAGCATCTTTCCCTGTTTCAGGTCGGAACGAGCTGATTGCCCGTTATATCAAACTGAGAACAGGCAAGACGAGGACGCGAAAGCAGGTCTCTTCGCACATACAAGTGCTTGCTAGGCGAAAACTTCGCGAGATCCAAGCGAAGCTCAAAGTGGTGAGTATACGAATATCCCGTTGTAAACAGTATGCTTTTCTTAGCTGATATTACACCTTTATTTTTATTTTCATACATATATCTTTATTCGAATACTCGAACAAATCTTCTAAGAATATCAAACAATATTTATCACCATATTTATCACAACAACACTCATAAGTATTCGAACACGTTAATAAAATTAATAAAATGTTAATCGAAAAGTTATATTATTTGAATTATTCGTATTAATAATTTAAATCGAATCGAATCGATTTGACAACAATGTAATATTTATAGTATAATGATGAAAGAAAAATTATATAATAAATTCATTTCTCATTTTAATTACGATCCGTCAAAAAATAAACGAGTGTTCATGTACTTTTGAAAGATATATAAATTTATATAATACATGTAGGATAATACATATCGTATTTTCGAAAGCATCACCTCCATTCGGGGAATATTCGATATTTTCAATTTTTCACATCTATATTCATTTATCTCTATTTCCTCTTTTCTCTCTTTCCTTCTTTCTCTCTCATTTCTTTTTTTTTTTTTTTTAAATTTTGCACGTGTCAACGGTTCGGGTTGCGCTGGAATTAATTGTCAATAGAGAATTCGTTCGATCAGGAGCGACGTACAGTAGTTTGTAGCGAAATAAATCACGCGTAAAAATGAACCCGGCCCGTTTAATCAACAGCTGAATTATTAAAGCGATTTGGGAACAATTGCGCGGCTGTTAATAAATCACAGCACGCTGCGCTCGCCGCTTCCATTCGACGATGAGAGGCGCCTCCTATATAGTTGGAGGAAGACAGAGAACGGTGTACGATGCATTGTTTGTACAGGGAACGGTCAATAGTCAGCGCACGAATATAAAAAGGAGACAAAACGAACGTGTAAATTAAGCAATTCGAGCGTGTTTCACGCAGTTAATCAGCGTTAACGTATAGATGGCACGCGCGTCGCTGAAGCGCCCGGCTTTATTCCCGATTTCAACGTGCCGACGCAGGACTGTGCAGAAAAAGAGGTTAACTTTAGTAGAAAAAAGAATTCGTTTAATATTACTTCGCCTCGCTTTTGCAACGAGGTGAAAATTTATAATAAAAATTATAGAGACTGGAAAATTGCAAAATTTCTCGAGGATATCATTATATAAAAGAGAAAATAACTCGCACAGTGTGTTGTAACCGAGTAGTTGATTCAATGTGAAAATTTTTCGTTTTCAAGAATATCAACTTTGAATATTTCAATTTAGTAATCGTATATATATATATATATACACACACGCGTATTTACAAATTTTTTCTTTATTTCTTTTAATTTCGAAAAAAAATAAAAATATAAATAGTTCGAGGATTAATTAGTAGAACCGAAAAAGTACAACAATCTGTCGAAAAAATTTCAAAGGATCATGTGCACGCGTGTAAACAGAGCGAAACATCGTTGGTGGAATTGCGAAACGGACTACATCTGCTACTGCAGTGGCCGCATACCGCGAGCATTATTCAGAGGAGCAGCCGGTGGCAGGACAACCCGGTGTGTGACGTAATTTTCTGGTTTCCGCGTTTCACGCGGGGTGTGAGCGCACACACCAGCCGACGGCGTGAGATCCTGCTTATGCCAGGCCGTTTCGCGATTTATTCCGTGAGGAAAGAATTTTTAGGCACCGGTGTTTACGTTTCCTGTGGTCGCACCTTATTTAATTTCTACACGGTCGGCCATCCGCTAAAGACCATTCGCGGCGAACCGGTATTGCGACTGTAATTTTTTTGTGTAAATTCACCACGGTATTCTTATCAAAGTTTCTCTGACCAATGGGGAAACAGCGCCACGGTCTTCCGTGGAACGCGCGCCCTCTCAAGTTTCCGGTGATCATATTCGAGGTTAATTGTAGAGTTGCTGAGTGTAGAGAATATAAATTGAATGAAGTTTAATATTCATTTATTATCGAGAATAGAACGAATTTGAGATTTGATATTGCAGTTGGATCGGTGTGTGAAGTTCATGGATTATTAATTGCAGCGGAAGTTTTTCGGAATTGTATCATTGTTAAAAGTGCTAAAAGAATGCTAAAAGATATGCAGTGTTGAAAATAAGGTTAGAAAGGATTAGTATAAAAGTAATATTATATAAATTGGAATAAATTAAAATTTAAAAGGTAATGATTATTATTAATAAATATTCTAGTATCTTTATAATAATGAACAAAGTTAAAAAATGTGCAATATACGAAGCTAGTTTTATATATATATATTTATATATAAATCTCTTAAAAATCAAAATATGATTTATTAAGAACTTTAGTTCAATTGCACAAGAAGAAGCATTTAATATATTTTATAAAACCAAACAATTTATTAATAAACTTAATTGACATATATCATTTACAATATCTTCAAAAACAAAACAAAAAAAAATATAGAATCAGCGAGAATAACAGATCAATGAGCAACAATTTAACAAGTTTCCAAACACCAATTTAAATCGTATAAAACTCTAAATGTTAAAACAACGTGTTTTACATTTTCCACATATTTTGTATATCTAACAAACCCATGATTAATGCATCAATTTTTCCCGAAACTGCACATTCTTCCGAGAATCAGGCCGCACCATCTATATCCCCGGAATAATCCCACATCGAGCGTTACAGTGTAATTGATTGTTGCGGTGTAAACGTAGTCCCCCTCCCCCTCTTTTTCTCTCTCTCTCTCTCTTTCTCCTGTTCTCTACCCTCTCGATAACTGACGATACACCCAAAAACGGGCGAACGGCATTTCAGAATGTCGATAAACATGTCCAGCCCGTTACCCAGCCAATCCTGCATTCCTCGCGTGTATTTGCGCGATGAGGGGTTACCATGGACAGGGACAGAGTGATACCGTGACCGACAGAGAGGCGAAAATTGAAAACAAAAAAAGAAGGAAGAGGGTGGAAAAAATAGAGAAAGAATGAAATGAAAAAAATAAAAAAATGAAAAAAAAAAAAGAAAAAAATAGCACGAGGGTAGCCACCCTCTCAATTAACCGAATTGATTTTCCACTGCAGATTCGTTGGTGAACAACGATCCCGCGGAATGAAATGGATTTTTCGCGTGCAGTGCGCGCCCGATTTCGCGATAATCACTTTTTTTCCTTTTCTTTTTTTTTTTTTTTCGCTTTTCATCGTTATCTCTCTATCTGAATTCCCTTTTTTTTTTTTTATTTTTTGCCTT